CACACACACACACAGAACATGACCTGACATAGGAAAACACACTCTCTCCACACCACACACACAATCCACTTGGTTTCCAGCCCAACTTTCTGCTGTGCAACACCAAAAAATAATCGAATCGCATGAAAACGCAGGTCCGACTAAATGAGAGGCGAAGTGTGAGAGCGAGGAGGACGGAGGTGGAGGAGGGAGATGGGATGAGACCAGTGAAATGTCTTGATGAAAAGATGTGAAACTGTTTGGTTTGAATGAGTTATTTGATGATAAAAAAAGTTTGGTAGAAAGCGGAACAAACAGTTTAGGAGGAAATGGAGATAAATCCAGTAAATATACAGTTTGTGCAGCTGTTACTATTAAAACAAAGTTTTCAGATGTGAGGCACATCGGCAGCAGAGAGCGAAACTGAATACCTGAAAAATATTGATTATAATATAATAATTTACCTGGTGTCATAAAAACACAACCGAACATCAACTATCATACAACAGTGTGTGAACCACTGTGGACGGATCGTGGAAGGTTTGAATCCTAAACGTAGAGCGGGAGTCTGCCTCCAACTGAACCTGAGATGATTCCACAGGAGAGGAGCTTGATGCTGAACGCTCTGGCTCCTCATCTACTTTTAGACTTGAGGGACAACAGACTGAATTCTGGGAGCTCAGGGCTCTAGTGGTGATATGGTACTTTGAGCTCTTTAAGGTTTGATGCTGCCGTGTTATTCATGTAGGTGAGGAGGAGGATTTTAAACGTAACAGGAACCAGTGTAGTGAATCTAATAAGGAGACATGTGGTCTCTGATCCTGGTTCTTGTCAGGACACGTGCTGCAGCATTTTGGACAAACTGCAGAGTAACGACTCACTGCTGGAGGCTGATAATACAGAAGAACAATAATCAAGTCTGTGTGGGACGTGGACTTCTCTTCCTGGTTTATTGAAATGTTACGTAGGTGGAAAACAATGGTTATAAATGAGTTTTTAAATGAGAATCACTTGTGATTGGATCCCTGAGGACAGACGTTACCAGCGTGTGTGAACGGGACGGTTTCAGTTCTGAGCTGAGAAAGTTTGATGGGTTCCTCCACAGACTCACATACAAACATTGACACTTATTTTATTATTTATTCTGTGAAATTACTTTATGAAACAAAACACATCCATTTACAACCAACCCACACTTTTCAAATACAAACAAAAACAAAACCATTTTCTACACTTATAGAGGAAATATAAAAATGGTCCCTGTCAGACATGTTTAGAAGAATCCCAGTGACACTTCTGGGAAACTCCTGGTTTTAATTTGTCGTTATACGACTGCTGAGAAAATGTTCTTTGTTTTAATCCCAAAATCTTGGGTGTTTCATTTTTTTCCTTCTGATAATTATTACCAAAAGCCCAGAGTTATTGCACGGCTCCAGAAACGCCTGTCTCTGATGTTCTTTGTGTGTCACGGTCAATTAAAATGGAAACAAGACTGTTTGGTGTCAACAGAGAAGAATGTCAAATGCAGATGTAGAAATATTTTTTAATGCTTCAAGCTTGAACTGCTGCTACCCTGCGGCTCGGTCCTCCAGAGGAAATGTTTGGAAAAATCTAATGTTCCTCTGTTTTCAGCCACAAGGAACGATGCGGTAAATAGAACTGGCTTCACTGTGCAGAACGCTCCATTTTCTTCTACTGTTTCATGTACAAAAAAAGTATTGTCTGTAAAACTAATGCAGAACAGATGCAGGACAAATCCTCGAAGAGACTGACTGTATACAAAACTATTACAGGAAAGATGCTACATAAACACACAGCGACCTGGACACAACTGGTTTATCTGCACAAACCACACATCCTGACTTTAACTTCCAGTAATGAAGGGAAATAACTGTGTGGACCAGTTCCATGTTCATGTCACAGATGGAACAGAAATCATTTGTTATTTAAAGCAAAGTTGAAACTATAATACACACGAGAGAAACTCACGGCTCCATCACATCCTACAGAAAACCTTTTTGGTAACTTTTTCACTTTATTGTCCAGAGTGAGATGAGAACATCTGAGCTGGAGGCAGAAAGCTTAGCTTAGCATAAAGACTCACCCACCTGCCACCATCATGGGGGTAACCTAACATCTACGATATTTACAACAGATTTCCCACTGAACTCACAGACATGAGTGATTTGATCTTATCTCAATCTCTGCATGAAAACAGTATATTCCCTCAATGTTCAATTATTCCTTAAGATAAATAAGATTCTTTAAAACAAACACATTTCTTTCTGTACAAAAAGTATTTAACAATATGGACTTTAGGTTTTTATTAAGTGGAGTTCCCTCTATACAGCTAAGACATTAAACCCAGTGCAAAGAGAACAATTCATAGTCTCAGTTTCTCCCTCAGCATCGACATCCAGACAGTAAACTGCTTCATCAAAACCCAACAGTTTCTTTTCTCCTGTAAATGAAATGAAGAGCAGAACGACCTCAAAGCTAAATGATCATCGTTTACCGCACGAGTTCCAACAGCACTTTGTTGAAGTGAGACCAGAGAGGCTTCGTGTTTGGATGAATGAAAACATATCGTGTTTCCAAAGAGCAAAGTGAGTTAAACGTAAAGATGTTGGCTCAGATTTTGACGTGAGGCCCTGTCACAGACGGAGATAGACGGGGAATCACGGTCAGAACAAACCCGAGCCGGCTTGTAAAGCATCCTGATGGTTTGTGGGAGACGTCAGTGGTCTGGTTTGGGTCCATGGCCGAGGTTTTATTTTCTCAGTTCATCTGCAGAGCTTGTCCTTCATTGTGCTTTATGGTCCCTTTGATTTGACTTGAATTGAACTTGATGACGTTGGGATGATTATTCGTTCGCTCCTGAGATGAAAAATAACGTGAGATGATTGTAACATTCACATTCATCACAGATGTGGATTTTTCTGATGATCGGTTCGGGCGGGGCATTTAAAGGTCTTTCCTTTAGTTCCTGTGGTGCCACCTCAGGGTCCAGAGTGCAGACAAGCAGCTCAGAGCTTCGGCTCCTGCTCACAACACTGAGACAAGTGGAGATCCTCCACCTCTGAATCCTCCACACTGTGCAGCAGGACGAACAGTCTGAATGCAACCAGCTACTGATCAAGACTAATTAGCATTGTGCTAACGGAGAGACGAAGCACAACTGAAAAACTCATCACAGCTCAGCTACTTCTTTATTTCCTTGTATTTTGTCTTTGAGAAAAATCTTAGTGTCTAAAGAAAAAAAACGATTTCATCCTCGGAACAAACAATGCATCATGTTAACCTGCTTTTATTCTACTGTTCATTTAAATCAACAGCAGCTCCTCCACCTCCTCCCACTATCCCACAATGAAGCCAAAATATCCTGGATATGAGAATCTAGGTCCTGATTCAGTCTTTTCCTGTTTTTATATCATCAATAACTAATTCAACCAAACTGATCAGAAACACTTGAACATCAGTGAGATGAGAAGGAGCTGAAATGACAGAACCATCTCTGACAGACATTAATTTAACGTCTGCTTTGATTGTTCAGTTTGATCCATGTCCCATCTGCTAACATGGAGGAGGAGGTTAACGATCTTTACTGCAGTGAGCCACCAGGGGGTGCGAGAGATGCTTCGGCTTTCGGGAGCTGTCATGGCTCAGATTAGCCACACGAGCCGCAGCTCGAGCTCCAGTACAAGTTTGCACAATGATTAACTTACAATTAATAGTTTAGAACAAATCCACGGTTTATAATCCCAGTGAGACTCTATGAGACAACAGGAGCTGAAAGTGTTGTGGACACACGTGTTCTCCTCGTCATAGGACGGCGGCTCAGATGAACAGCGGTGTGGTGACGGAGGAGGACGGTTTATCCAGTGATACAGGCGCTGTAGTAAACAGCACTGCTGGCATCAGACAGAGCAGAGATCAGGGGGCTGCTGCCGTCATCGCACACGCTCAACATGCTGCTGACGTCCCTGCTGATGATGCCGCTGCTATTCATGCTGCTGCCGATGCTACTGCGCCCACCCAGGACTTTGGACCCGCCCCCACAGCCAACACCAAGCCCGAAGGCCTCGTCTCGATTCCTCCCGATATTCACGTACTGGTCGAATTCATGTCTGTCCACCTCAGACCAGAAGTCAGCAGAGGAGGAGCCCAGGTGTCCCGTGGACTCTGGGTTGGACGGGTCAACGTGTGAAAGAAAAGTAGATGGAGGGACAGAGGACGAGGAGGGGGACGTCTCAGGAGGAGGGGACAGCTGCCCCAGGTGAGAGGGGGGGAAGTGGGTGGCGCTCTGGGCTGAGTTCCCACACATTTGACTGAAGTAGCCGACAGGGGCGGTGCTCAGGGGGGTTTGGTGGCATTTTATTGGCTCAGACAGGCTGATGGAGGGCGGGGGGTAGGATGCAGGGGAGGGGGAAGGGGACAGAGGTGGGGGGCACTTCGCAGGACTGCGTAACGTGACGTGGTGACAGGAAGCATGAGAGGGATTCAACCTGCCGGAGCTCAGGTTTGACTCAGCAGAACTGACGCAGCTCATCCCCGAGCCCTGCGGCGCCGCACCGTGCACGGAGCTGTGGTGGCCGCTGTAGTGAGGACTGTAATGCTGGTTATGATGGTGGAGGTGGTGGTGGTGGTGGTACCCGCTCCAACCTCCCATCGCCCCCTCCTCTTGGATATGTTGGGGGAAAAACACAGACTCTCCATCTTCCAGAACATCCAGAGGGGACATCTCTGGGGTGGGCAGGCCGTAGCTCTCCAGCTCTGGGTGTCCCGGGGCCTGCAGGTCTCTGAAGTGACCCAGAGAGGGCAGCAGGTGGTGGGGGTGGTGGTGTGGTGGAGGGTGTCCATATGCAGAACCTCCAGAGACACTGTCTACACCCAGTGGGCTGAGACCAGGTCCCAACCCCAGGCCTGGTGCACCACCCTGGGCCAGGCTGTGAAGCAGAATGCCCGGTTCGACCCTCTTCAGTTTTTTGGTGGTCTTCTTCCGACGAGGTCTGTACTTGTAGTTGGGATGATCCTGCAGGTGCTGCACACGCAGCCGCTCTGCTTCCTCCACAAACGGACGCTTGTCTGTGGCGCTCAGGTTCTTCCATGACTGACCTGACGGAACAAAGACGTTACATAATAATCAATCATCACAAAAGAAAAGAGATCAAACTCTTTTATTCATCCCAGTTATCAAATATTCAACTTTTCCACATCATCTTCATCAATCATTAGTTTTACACTGATTCATTTCTCCATTAATCATCTAAAGAAAATTAACATATTCAAACTGTTTGTGTCCAACACGTTATTCAAAACCACAAATTTATACTAAAAACAAGAAACCTTCAAAATATTCAGATTTACCAAGTTGGAGTCATTTAAATACCAAGATTAAAATAACTGATAAATGAAACTAGAGTAAATAATTCAAATTTCTCAGCTCAGGTCGAAGCTGGAATATTCCCTCTGATTGATGCTGGAGGTTCTGTGACGATTCAAACAGAAACATCTTTGTTTTCAAATCATATTTCAACCTATAGGACGTCCCACCAAGTTTAATGTTGTGGTCGTATAACAGCCGCTGCATCAAGAACTCGTGCTGTGATGGACGTCGTGTGTTCTAGTGATTGTGATTCATCTGCTGTGACTTCAACATGGAATAAATATCTGCTGAGATTCATATTATTCTAATTATTTTACTCTGATTAGTCCTTTTGCTTGAGAAGTTTGGTTTTGTACTTGAACCAACCTGCTGAATAATCTGTGGTGCTTTATAACGTTGAGAACAATACGAAGAATTCAGTGGAACGTCTGAGCGCTGACCCTGAACGACTGGCTCCTCTCATGTAAAAATCTTTTCTAAACACACTGGCCCCCCGCACAGATTCAAGATGATCATAAAAAACGTTTCCTCGCTGGAGGAGAGCAGCGGCTGTGGTCGGCCTGGATTCATGTGGGTCACTGTGGATTCTGTGTTTTCACAGAACTGTGGAGTTTGGATCATAATGAGCACGATGACGGACAGAGACGTGATTTACTCTGCAGGAGAAGTTTCTAACGACATCGCTCCATCACTGAGGAAACTTTCATTACTTCCCAGTCCAACTTTGATGCTCTGAAGTCTTTTGAATGTGGAGAAGTTTTGTTTGATCTCCCTGAAAGATGTTTTAAATCTATAATGTCAAACTGTGCAGTTGTTTTTCATCCAATAAGAATTTATCACAGATGTTCAGTGCTTCAGTCAATGTTAACACAACTTCCTGTGTTAATGATATACACACACGTAAATATGCATCAGTTCAAGTCATATTTTACTTGATTAGTTCATTTATTTATCTCAGGAAGTTGATAATTATACTGGTTGTGTCATCATGAAAATATGAAAAGAGAAATCTAACATTCAGCTTTTCATGGTTTATATTAGTTTTAAAAGAAACAATGGTTTGAAGAGTCCAGGCTCATTCACCTCATTAGTTAAGACGATCTTGACCCAGATAACGAGGATTATCACGAGGCCATGACGCTGTAGACTTCACACTTTATTCATTCAATGAATTAAACAGGGTTCGTCTCTATTTGGACTTTTAAAAAAAAGCCAGATTGGATTTCGTGTGTGTGGTTTGAATGTTTGATGCTGTTTCAGAGGCTGAAGCTTTTGTTCTCATCTTACCGAGCATCTTGCTGAGCACAGCATTGTGAAGGTCGGGGTTCTGCAGCGCCAGTCTCTTCCTCTCATCTTTGGCCCAAACCATGAAGGCATTCATGGGTCTGCGGATCCTCTGCTCGCCCCCCACGACCTTCCCGTCGGCCGTGCCCACCGACACACCTCCTGCCTGGGTCAGGGCCGGGCTCTGTCCCCCCGACCCGGGGTTCAGAGAAATCCTCGGTTCTGTTCTCCTCACGCTCCCGGCTCCGAGGCCATCGGGTGAACCGCAGTCCTCGGACAGGTTCTGCTCAAAACCCATTTCAGAATCAGAAGTTGGACTCGGGGTTCTGGACGTCCAGTGACCCCCGAGAGACAGAACAGTCTCTCTGGACAACCTGGGCTCCGGTAAATTCATTCCAAGACCGGACTTTGAGTCAGCTTAGTCCAACTGAAATTGTGCAAACGTCTGTCCCAGTTTGTTGGGTTGCAAAGTTCTTGAAAAAACGTGTAACTCAAAGCGTTTCAGACGACAAAGATGAGGAGATGAATGTGATGGATTTGGAGCAGAAGTCCCAAAGCACAGCATCGAGATGTGAGAGGAGGGAGAAGGAGCGAGAGAAAGAAAACAAAGACGATGTGGTGCAGGATATTCCCTCTGAAAACGATCCAGTGACTCAGCCTCTCTCTTCCCTCAAAGACAACACTTCTTGTTTGGAGTGTGCGGTGCAGCGGTTTGTCCTGAGCTCGATTCCCCTCCGTCACTCAGGACGTCCGACTCTCTGTCTCTGTCTGTCTCAAAGTTTTGAAACTTGTGGCCAGAGTTAACCAACCCACGCTGTGTATATATACCCCGCCCTGACCAATCAGATAAATATGCTGGAGATTTAACCAATGAGACGCCAGGTGGAAGAGAGAGGAGGGGGGGCCTCTCCCTCTTTCCTCTTCTGCGACCGCCACCCTTTCCTCCCCCCGAAGGTTTGCATGCACACACACACACACACACACAC